TGTACTACCTTTTACAGGAAACAAGGACCAAAACTAGGAATTGCCTTTTTCAAAAATAAAAACCATTCAAGTTGAGAAAGAGGACGTGCATGCATGCGAATTAAGTAGAATCTCTTGAATAAAGACGATGGATAGTAGTATAATATATCAAAGATAATTATCATATCTCTCATATTCTTCTGGAAGTCATGAAGGATTTGACTACTGCTCATGCTGAAGTTCGATCCGTCTACTTGAAGTAATAGAATATTTTCAACAAAGAAATAAAGGGCTAAGTAAGGTATATTTAAAATATCTTTTTGTCGGCCCAAACTGGTAAATGTACTGACTTCCCGTTCAAGAATATTGTGTCACAACAATTTTGTAACACGGCTCTGGTGAAGATCGATGAAGTGATAGATTCTAAATTTTAATGTTTTAAGTGGTATTTATCATGGGCCTTTTATTTGTTTGATCAAAATTTGTAAAGATGCTATTTTACTGAATTCTTTTGCAAAATGAACAATTCTTTTTGTCCAATTACGAGGGCATGAAAGGAAAGGTCGCTAAGGAGCCAAGCAAAACAAAATAACTGAGCTAATTAATCCCTGACATTTTTGTTTAAGCAGTTCTGACATCTACAAGTGTTTGTGCTCATATTAAATAAGAGATGGGGTACCTCCACGACTTGTCGCAGTTGCACTACCTTTTCCCTTTGAATCTATTTTATCTGTTCTGTTGCTCTGTATTACACAGTCTACGAACATTCTTGGTGGCACTCTTTAGGTAAATCCTAGCTACTTCATGAAATTTCTTTTTCACTAATTTCTATTCTCAGAAATACATATGGTGTCGATATCAAAGGTCTTTGGTGGAGCAGATCATGACAACTAGATGCTAAATAATCAAGCTATCAAAATAACGACACGACAATTAGCATGCCATTTTACCAAAAAAAAAGAAACCAAGTGTAAATTTGATGATACTAGCAAACATGCCTAAAGTCCAAAACGCAAAAGCTCTTGTTTGTCAGCCTTCTTTTGCCTTATTTGATGTCGGAGAATAATTTCATTTTGAATGAAAGACGGAGAACCTTTTTCTCCGGAGCAAACATATGCAAGGAGAACAAGGATTTAAGCGTAATTTACAAGGTATAAATCTCCAAGTTTTAGACAATAAAAAATCCTGAAAGGCATAAACTCCCTAGTACGTCAAAACATCTGCCCTGAAATTCACTTCACAAGCTTTAGCGACAACACCAGCAAAGGTGTCCGTCCCTCAAGCAGTGGCATTGGTAATCACCATTTAACATGGTCAGGTAAAGCCAAAACATCGTTTTTTTTTTCTTGGTTTTTTTTTGGGGCCCCCGGGGGGGGGGGGGGGGTTGTGATTCCTTATTATCTAGCTAATAGAATAATGAATCAAACTCTCCCCATCGGAAGAAATAATAGATGCTTTCAGGTCAAGCTAATAGGACACTTGCTTACATGACTGTCCGGTTTTGTTTTCTTTCCCGTCGACAGTAATACAAAGTGCGCTTGCTGGCTTCTCTAACCAAAACAATAATGATTTAACAAACAAATATCACATCCTATCAGCTTAAAATCTGCATCACCAACATTGCCCTGGAACAGGTTGGCTTCAAATCCCCTGGTCAGACAAATTACTTATCGCGTGTAATACAAGTGACACACTTGAGACATATACATATATGCCTTGCGTTATCTGCAAGGTAAACCACCAGGGCATTTACTTGTGTACCACAAGCTGATTGTTAATTATTTCCTTTTTCTCTTTTGTCTAATTTACTAGTTTTTTCGGGGGTCGGGGATCGATGTTTTTGGTTATTAACAACTTGACCATCATACACTTTATTTTTCCTAATAAAAATGATGGAACTCTGCATATTGGGTACAAGAGGAGAATATAGGCTATATATTGTAATTTTATTCAAAGTCACCTCATCTAAACCCAATCATCTTTACGAATCATAGATTACCCAAAGATGACTTCAATTTTGGGATGGAGGAATATGTTATGCTCAGCACCATTAAAATTTTTCTTCTAAATAAAAAGACTCAGATAGACTTAATTAATATGTCAAAAACTACGTAGAAAAATTTGTGTCTCATTCCTTGGATCCAAATTAACAAAATAAAAAGTGACATTTACAATCAGACTTATCGTTTCAACAAAAAAAAAAAGACAACGGGCATAGGGTAAGTAATTGCAGAAGAGATTTATTGAACGAATCTTAGAAGTAGTCATTGATGGAGATGTTGTCTGTGGCCAAAGAACTGTATGTGCACTATGGTATTTTTCAGAAAATATACACTATAAACCAAGCTGCACATATAATATATGAAGTGTTAAAAAAAAAACGAAGCACATAGAAATAGCAAACAAGATGTTTTTTCTTAAATAACATCTGGTTTATAGGGGATAATAGACAAGAAAATGTCACATAATTTGGTGATTTTTTTTATTAGATCTATGAAACATATTTTAGTGATAACAAGTTCAAATTTGCAACCAATTGAACTCCTGTAGAAAACCAGAAATACTTTATAATGTCTTCTAAAAATCGTATTCCAAAGAACTAGTGACATATTTTTGACATAAATAAATTTAGGTGATGTAAAATTTTAATTCACTTAGATATGCTGATGTTTATTATAAGTATAATCCAGGGTTTTTTTTAAAAAAAAAAAAATTTTTTGGCAAGCATAATCCAGGTATGTAATGATTTAACTCAAGAAATGCCAGAAAGGCGGTCCGATATATGAAAAAAGTGCTACTCCCCAAATTCTAATGGTCTTATTCAAAGTTAAAAAGAGTAAGACTTGCTACTCTTACGTTAACATGGGAATTATGAGTTAATATCTCAGCGTCCGCTGGGTTGGTTAAGCTCCTCATCATGCCTATACCTTTTGGGAAATCATTAATATTTTTGTTCCATGAGCAATGTCCTAAGCTAAAGGAACAAAACGACTCACTTTCTGGAACATTTTTAATTAGCTCAAGAACTCGTAAATTGCTGCGAAGCTGGAAGCCCTTATACGTACGTTACGTGTGATGGTTCCTGTTTCACCAACTAGGGTTTGTCGCCAAGCAGCTTATTTTATTGTAACGTTTCTGACAGAGTTCACCATATAAAGAGTTGCTGTGTTTCTCAAACAAGCTTAGTAAATAGTAATTGACATCTTTAATGTTGGGGAAAAATGTTGGTGCATCTGTTGTACCGTATTTTATTTTATTTTTTTAAGTGCAGCAACTCAATTAATTAGCAACATTAGTTAACTAATAGGATGGAACTAAAGTTTGACCATATCCGTAAACCCTAATGGTGTGTGGGTTTTGATATCCTTACATCAATTTCATAAAAAGTTTAGCTGTCGTTTGGAAAATTGTTGCTATCAATGTCTAAATTTGGAAAACCTTATAAAACCGGTAATGAAAAAACTCAAACGCAAGCAATTACATCTGTGGATCGAATCCAAACTTCTGCTGTTAATCCTTTGTAACAGCTATTTGGTCATTAGTGAGGAATCTGGTTTTTATGCAGTATTTCTCGGTTAATTCCCTGTCTGAAACAGGATTCCTGTGACAAATAAGAATTCTCTTGGTTACGAACTCGAATAGAAGCTGCACAATCAACGCTAATGCAACTCTGTTTATTCCAAATGGATGCTTCTATTGGTGCTCCGTCTCGGTCGGGCCTCTTAAATTCGATACCACAAAAGTTTCTTGACGAAGGCACTGCCCTCTTTTCTCTATGAGAGCAACAACAATCGTTCAGAAAACCTTATCTAAGAGAATGGTTCGCGGTTAATACAATTTGAGCTAAAAAATTTCATCCCAGAATTCTCTGAAAATGTTAGGACATCTAATTTATTATTTTTGGCGGAAAGAGCGAAAGAGCAAAAACTTTTAGGTAAGCACTAATTAAATGGTGAGATATTAGGTTTTTTTTTTTTTTTTTTGTCATTTTGAGCTTTATAAGATGGATTTTATCCTCGAATCGACTGATTGGTATCCGACCACTTAGATGAAAGGTGAATACATAAGGAAATAGAGATGAGCTTTTCAAATTGCAGCTCAAAATTAAGCAGCCAAATATACTGTATATGTGCATTCAGAGATTGCTTCTTTGGCTTACATATGCTTTTCTTGTCTTGCATTATTTGGATATCATTAGACCCTCATCTTCCCGGGGCGCACTTGGATATTTGGCATGTATAGGAATTAAATCTCTAGAAACACATGAGACTCGCGACTTCGCTACAGCTACTTTGGCTTTACGCGAGAAATTGGAATCACATTAGTGATGAGTTGATCCCAGACAGATATTCTTCAGTTCTAGGATTGTTTAGGATTATGCATCTGTATTCTGCAAATGAGTCAACATTCAATTACCGCTTGCTGAAAAGCTCACTTGGTAAAATTTGAAGATAAAACTTAGCTTCACATATATCAGGACATAGGGTGACAAAATGCAAAATTGACTTGATGAAGCCACGAAGATAACAACCAACAATTACGGTAGTTTTCTACCCTTGTTTTTTCTCCTGGAACTCGCATATAAACAATTCAATCAGTGAAATCAGATGATCTCAGTTACCATGTAACTCGCGGGAGACGGGATTATTAGCTAGGACCCACTCTATTAATTTGTCTAAACCTCGTTTCCACCTTGAGGAGAGATTGCAGAATGAATATAAATGAGGCTACAGTAATTGTGTCCCGGTGGCCAACTAAAAACCAAAAGAGTAGCTGCATGAAACTGCCAAACTAGACCACCCACCACTCTACCTTCCATCTCTAACATTGCAAAGTTCTTTCATTATTTGAGCTAATCTGCTTCTCACAGATACTCATGTAACTTTCAGTTATTCTTATCCCGGATCGATCGACGTCAATTTTCAGCTCACTCTTTATGCCCGAAGCTGGTAGATTTGAATTAGGGTCGTACATATTTTTGATGGAGCAAGCACGATATTGGATGTGGACAAAGAGGAAACATGATTTCGGTTCACATGTATTTCAGCATCATTACCGAATCCCAGCTCGTATGTGAATCATGGGAAGAGCAAGCTTTTGCCGAAGATGCAGCTGGAGGGCTCGGAGGTTGCACATGGCCTCCAAGATCTTACACTTGTAGTTTTTGCAGGAGAGAATTCAAGTCAGCTCAGGCTCTAGGGGGTCACATGAATGTCCACCGCAGAGATAGGGCTAGGTTAAAGCAGTCTCCAACTCCACATATGGAAGTTCTTTCCCGCAATCACCAGATTCTGAACCCCTGTGCATCTTTGGATTCACCTCAGATATGTACTTTCTTGTACAGCCATGATTCTAATGACTCTGATCATCGAGTTGTTCTTGCATCACCTTCATCGCCTATTAGGGTTTCATCATCTTCACCACCGCCAAAGATCATGGATTGTGAAGAAAAGATATTGGGCGCCCCTCAATTCTTTTCTACTATCGTCGATGAAAGTTACCAAAAGAGTAACCTGTCGTCTCCTCAATCCTGGTCAAACTTGGTTGCAGACAAATATTTCCATGTCCCAGATTCGAAGAATGGAGACAAGGGTTCCAAAACGGTTAAGTCAAATGGTAGGGCTAATGGAGAACATGTCAAAGCCGATTTGTCTGCGAGCTTGAATTTGCTACTTTGTCGAACCCGTTCAAATACATCTGATGACGCTGAAAACTTTCACACCTATAAGAGACGGAAAATGGATGAAACTTCAGTCACTTTGTTGCCAACATCAACTCTTGCTGATAAAAATGTCTTCTTCAGTCAAATTTGCCGCCTAAAATGAGCCCCAACTCCAAGACGAATTAGATCTTGAGCTGAGGCTTGGCGATCCACCAAAGGTGAAGTAAGACTTGGAATTCTTTTTCGTTATAGCATATGCATAGATTCTATTCCATTTTCATATTGCTCTGATGTATCATGTTTCTTCCTTTCTCTTTGCGCAAGTATGGTATTCTAATTAATTTCTCTTCTGGCAATTTACCGGGTGTAATTGTCACTATATCAGCAGATTATAAGTTTCCATCTTGTTTTCCGTTTTCGTTTTTACGATCTCATAAATATGAGAGGGAGGATGTTTGTTTGCCATCTCGTGCAATTCAGGCTTGATCTGGTTCACTAAATATGATGTAATGATTGCAGTGCTTGAATTCATCGGCCATCACAATGCTTATACCTGTCAAGGGTCATCGCTATGCTTATACCTGTCTAAGAAATAGACAAATATCTTACCTGCAAGTAGATTAGACTAAAACGTTAGAAGCCTTGGTGGAGTTTTGCAGCAGGAAGATAGAAAGAGTCCTACGAGTACAGTAGAAATTGGTAATTTTTGATGCGGGTTATGCAAAGGCAATGAGTTCAATATAAACTGTCATGCCATTTGCAGTCAAGTCATGATTCATGAACATGGATTTTCATCCTCATAACCTAGTAGCAAGTTAATAAATATGTGTGGATTCTGGAGTCGAGAAATGTCACAGATACACATAAGACCAGAAAAAGAGACAAAGAGGGATCGTGCCGGTTGATGATACTATTGAACTTCATTTGGGATTTTTACGTGGAACAAATTAGCATGTGTTGTGTATAGAGTACTGACTAAAGCTGCACGGAATGCAGCAAAGAGAGCACCTTTTTCCATTGAGTACCTCACTGACATTCTGTTTTACATAACTAAACTAGTCTAGAAGACAGGCAAAGTTAGGTTTTCAAGGACACATAAGTCAGATACAACACAACATGGATTCCCTTTTCCTTTGGATGTATTATTGTCAATTATTCATCATCATCAGATGATCAGATCAGTAGTTGCAGTTAAGTATCTTCTCCGCATAAATCCATACACTTGTGTTCTCTTCCCTCACTTTTCTCTCTTTCTCAATCCTCCAAAAATTGCCACCAACTACAAGGAATCAATCCATTTAAGTATTTAAACAAATTCCCTTTTCTATTCACTAAGGGAATATTATTGCATCATCAGTCATTGGCATTAACAGCATCGTCTTACACCTTATCAGCAAGTAAGAATAAAGAATGAGAATAAAGAATGACCAAAGAATGAGAAATAAAGTACTATAAACTGTGACCCCCTTAAACCAAACCCTAACCCTACCTATAGTATATCATAGCCCCTGCCTGCCTTTATCATAGAGTTTCCAGCCTCCTCACGGTGTCTAAGGCTCAAATCATTGTGTATTAACTAGCCTATTTAATATGTGCTATCTAAGAGGAAATCTGATAGAGGATTGGATTGGGTTGGGTCGGGTGCATTTTTTGATATGCTGGCCTGAAATCCTGAGGAACCATGTGCAATCTGAAGGCAATTTAATTGATATCCTCAGACTAGGTTCTAAATTAATGCTAGATGCATTAACTACGTACAGTTCGAAAGCACGTTATTAATGAGTCCAAGGATCTATGATCACTTTCCGATGTGGGAGTTTCATTTGTTAATGGTAAGGGACAGAGAACGGTATGTGTAATGTGGCAAGAGGGGCTTGTATGGTTAATAGTACTAGTATTACTATGTTTTTCGAAGAAAACTCAAATGTTTGTTTAATGGGAGGTAAGGCGATTGGCTAGGGTTTGTCTTGATTATGGTGTACAGAGTACTGGAGTTGGGCGGGTTTGATAGTGAAGTATAGTAGTAGAAAATAGGAGTGCCAGAAAGTGCACATGGATTATCAGGTGTCCGTTTCTGTGTTTTCCCTGTGAGTGAATGGGGGATTTAGTAAAAGGAATGCCAGATTATTCCAAGCTAGCTAGTCTGTATTTCTCTGTTTAGAGAATTTTTGTAGTTCCGAGATATACATTAATTATGAAGATTTCAGAAAATAATGATTCCGTGCTAAATGTCTCTTTCTTCCCAATTGCTATATCAAAAAAAATTAACTAACTAAAACAAAACTAAAGTTGTGACATTAATTTATATTATTCCTTTTTTTTTTGGGCAGAAGGCTATTAATTAGTGCATGGAAACAGGGAGAGGGTTTTTCCCAGGAAATCAGTGGCCATATACGAATGGTCTCTCTGTGTTTGTGCATGTGTGAAATTTTGTGCACGACATATTATTGATAAAATTAAATTATCATCGTAAGATCGGCTGAACCGAGAACTTTCCATATCCCTTTTTAAATTTTTTTTTTTTGGGGTTTCGGTAAGCGGAGCTATTAATTTGCTATAGCTAATTAGCTGTTAATCCAATACCATGACATGTTAGGCAATTGTGAGGTTTGATATTCTTTTGGGATAATTTTAGAAACCTCCCTAAAGTTTCTGACAATTTCATTGAGATTCCCTGAGATTTGAAAAATTACACCTACTGCCCTTGATTTAATAGTTTTATAATCTAAAACTTAAAATAATATTAACTTGGTCAAATTTTTAAATGAATACCCACCCTTGTGTAATGAGTTTTAATTTATTTTTCTACACAATTATAATAAATTATAAATATAAGCAAAAGGTACCAAATTTCATGTCCATACTTACTATTTGATAAATAACTGTAATAATAATTTTATCACTAAAATAGGATACTTTTGATGGTATTTTATTATGGATTTAGATTTATAAGATAGAAAAAAATGTTGAAATAATTCATTTAGAATTTATGAATTTTTCAAATAGTAGAATTATCATAATTTAGTAGTGGTTTTGGGCCTTTTTTATTTATTATTAATTTTAATACAAAAAATAGAAAACAAAGATCAACAAAAATATTGATTACATATAAGTTGACTCATAAAAAAATCACTAGTTCGACATTTAGTTACAATAGAAACTAAAGGTCATAATGCTAATTATACAGTTTTATTGGCAAAAATTTTTTTTAAAAAGGAATAAGAAGGAAAAGAATGAAAAAATAATTTTAAAAGTCATTTTAAATATAAACATACTAAATAAGGGAATTTCATTGAAATATTTAAGGGTAGTATTATCACTTTAAATGACAAGGGAGTTATGTCTAATTTTAAAATCTTGGGGGAGCTAAATAAAATTGTTAAAAATCTCAAGAGAGGTTTCTGAAATTATCGATATTCTTTTGGCAGACACTTAGTAGCTTCTTAAAAAGCTCACCCTTCGGAGCATAAACCACCGAGAAGATTTCAGCACGTATCATCTTTCAGGGTAAATTCCGAGGAATCTGGTCTTATTCATTATGGTAAGGTACATATCCCGGCTTATATTAAAGAATTGCTAAGAAATAGGGATGACAAAGTTATAATGTTCAGAGATTTCAGAAAATGGTAGGCTAATTTATAGGGTTAATTTCATTTTGTCCCTCAAATTATACACAAAATTTCATTTCAGTCCCTAAACTTTAAAATTGAACATTTAAATCCCCAAACTACAAAATATGTTTCAGTTAAGTAAAATCAGTGACAGAAAAAAAAAACTTGACGGTGTCTTGGGAGCGCGAAGAGCACCCTCCTACAACATGGTTGTGGAAGTGTTATAAACCAAAAAAAAATGGGGACATAAAATTAATTTCATCTTTTGTAAGTGTTATAAACAAAAAATGGGACATAAAAGTCATTTCATCTTTTTTTTTTTTAATCCTTTCCTTCTTCATCCTTCCTTTTCCTTTTTTCTTTTTTCCTTTTCTTCTTCTTCCATCGTGCTCTTTCACTTTTCCAGCCAATATCAAAAAAAAAGGGTGGAGTTCACTGAAAGGAACCCAACCAATTGGTGCAGTAGACAACCTCCTTTCCCTTCCCCCTATAATTGTCATTCACTCTCCATTTTTTTCTTCCCTAAATAGCATCATCACCTACAGCAGTAGCTTTTTTGTCGGATCCGAAGTGCTGCCAAAGTTTGACCTGACCCGAGTGGTGGAAATGTTCGTTCGGATTATTTGCAGCGAAGTTGGAGTAGCGAGTTCACTCGCTCCTAAAATTGGCCCGCTCAGTCTCTTCCCAATGAAAATTGGTGAAAAGAAACTACAAAGGATTGGAAAGGCCTCTTAGTTCATCTTTATGCTCATCGTCAAAAATCGTCAGGCCAAAAAGGAAAATTTCAAGCTGAATGCATAATTTAGACTGCAAAGCAGGGGATGTGAACTAAATTGGCTAACAGATGAAAACAAATTGAAGGGGTACTTGGATGAGACTTCGAAATTGATATCACAATCGGATTCAAATACAGAAGGTTAGTATGGTTTGGTAAAGAGGAAAATTTATGGGAATTGATGTCTGATAAGTTTCTTGCCTCTTCTTGCAATATTCTTTCACTCAATAAAACCTTCAAGGCCACTGCAATCTCCATGGAAGATCCCATACGAACAGATCCAGAAACAAAATTCAAGCTTCAAGTTGAAATTTTTTTTAAACTTCTTGATGCATGTTTTATCCCTGAAATCTTGATATTGAAAAGAAACATAGAAAAGTAGGAAATTCGATTATGGCTAAGGCGGGTGTCAATAGTGAAAAAGGATTAGCGGTGATGGGTTTTGGTGACCAGCAAGATGCAGGGGTGGAAAAGGGATTGGAAATAGTGGGCTCGTGGGGTTGGGAGGGGAGAGGTTAGAGAGTGATGGTGGTGGCTGATGGGTGGCAGAGGTGGGGATTCAACTGGGGAGGATGGGAAAGAAGAAGAATAGGGAAAAAAAATAAGGAAAATGGAAGGATGAAGAAGAAGGAATTAAAAAAGGGTAAAATTATCTTATGTTCCTATTCTTTTGGTTTATTACAGAGTCTCACTAATGGAGGGTGCTCTTCACGTAACTTATTGCAGTGGCCAGTATTAAACTGTGTTTGATCTTATTCAGGCTACTGCTTTTAGCAA